AGCGATTTGCTCATAAACTCAAGTTTTATGTTTAACTTTGGCTTCAAAATTTTGAATTTAAACTTGTTCAAAGCATCCCAGCCTGGAATAGTGAGGACAATCTGAATAGCTGATACGTTTCCTTCGCTAAGCGATATCAGAAACTTTTCAATAGAGAGACCAAAGTTTCCGACGCCAACCAAATGAATTGGTGGCAATGAGCTGCTGAATCCTACCTGTTGAAGGAGTCGTTCAGCAAATTTATCAACATCGGGAACAGGAATTGTCTGGTTCGTCGACAACTGTATGGATCCATTTGTGTGCAAGGGCCATGAGAACTGAAGGGAGATGTTTAAACCTCCAATAGTTGCATCGGCATGCTGTTGACCAGAACTATCATTGCGAATGTTAAAAAGCTTGATGTCTACTCTCTTTAAGACCATTTCCACGTCCCACAGCGAGCTCAAGTGTCCCTGGTATGCAGCCTGGCAGCTAACAAGGCAGGAGACCTTTGAGGAGAATAATAAAAAAAAAAGCAAGCTTTGTTTTGATTTTTGATTAAATTTATGAATGATTTAAACCATTTTCCTTGAATTATGATAATGGAGCTCGCAGCGCGCGCAGCGTAGCCCCATACTTAGCAGTAACTTATCCAGCCCAGAGAATTTGGTTTGGTGTTCGACCGTACGTCCTTACATACTGTACTGTTACTTTTAGCATGCGCGGCCAACTGCATTACAGGTATAAGTTTAGCCATTACGTAAGAAACGCGAAAGAGAACAAGAAAAGGCGAGTATCTAGCGAAGTGCAAAGTGCGAAGGAAATACTAAGAGCTACTGAAAACAGACTGAAAAATGGAAAAGAAGTTATGTTACGAATTTTTTCTTCGCTGGAAAGTTTCAAATAATGGCGAACACCGTAAGCAAGTTTATATCATTCACTCTTCAGTCAACTATTTCAGGTTTAACTTTATCAATATTTAAAGAAATCACGCTTTGTCGTAGGCTTGATTACCAGCCACTGTTCGGGAACCGGAGCCCGCGCTCCTCCCCGAGGAGAAACGAAAAAACCGGACTCGAGAGAGCGGGGGAAATCGAGCCAAGCATTGTCGAAGATGCGAGGTTTTACCTTTAAACTGGGGTAATGGCCTCTCTGAATATTAAAACCTTGTGATTTGTGTTTTCTGGTCGATTGCCTCATTCAAAGTCTTAAATGACAGACCTTGGCGCCTAGCGAGTTCTGACCTTTTTTTGCGCATTGAAAGTAGGATTTGGTGGCCAGAAAGTGTTCCCATATAGCACGTGGCCAAAACGATCATGTTACATAGCTGTGACGTGGAAAACGACGGTGAAGAAAGGAGAAATCAAGAAGAGAGGATGAACATATTGTCGGAGCGCCAAATAGTGTTACTTGCAGGAATTATACAAATACAGCGGGTCTTTCTATACACTAATTTCTAAAGGATTTAGCGGTATAGGCAAAATGAACGATCGTCAACATAGAGGAGTTTTTACTCTTTAGGTCTTATGCTCCGTCCCGGTTTCGAAGACGGCTGTTACGAACACATACCACCATTCAAATCAAATGAAAAGGTGGCATATGACTTCAGCTTAAAAGAATGCTCAATAGGGAGCCTATTTCCACACGATTGTTTCATGTTCTCTTTAGCTGACACTGCGCAAGCAAAGAATGTTGAGCTTCTTATTGTTGTTAATTACACACACTTGAGATTTACGTATATTCCTTGTCTTTCCAAATGATAACATTCGCGCTTATCGTAAGAAAATCTTACCAATTGTAATCTCCTTTGCATTTTAATAACAGAAATGCATCATTTGTAATAGTGGTCAAGCCCTTTCCTGAGCTGTCCGAAATCCTGTTGCTTGAACAGTGTGAACCTTACGGCAATTGCTAGCATAAACACAAGTCGAACGGGTCGTGCATTCTCCTAACATCCACCTCACGAGCCATCAATTTCCCCCTCCCCCTTCCCCCCGCCCTTAAGAAACTGAAAGTAGCGACAATAGCAACAACAACAACAACAACAACAACAACTTTATCACCCCATAATTTAGGAATTACAGTCATTTGTAAAAAAACTCATTTGATAAACTTGTTTAAGGGTTACCAGCTTCCTGAAATAGCTAAGTAGCTAAAAACACCAGAGAGCTGATTTAAATAGTGTAAATTAAATATTTACAGCGGAGGTAAGACCTAAACTATCACACACACACACACAGACACACACACACATAACACGTACACACTTACAACATCAAAATTGCACCGGAATTTTTCAAGGTCTGTTTCTTTTTTCTCAAAACGACTCCGATGATTTTCCGAAGAGTACGAGCTCTGAAAGTCTAAGTGATTGCCAAAATGAATAGAAACCTGAATGTTCAGTTTTGTAAACTCAACAAGGTCGAGAGACCGAGTTTCTGCTCAGCCTTTCCCCAAATTATCTTGTGTTAGAAAGAATACCAGATACTGTTAAGTTTTATCAGAATTTGAAGCATTGTAAAATTTTTGGGCAACAGTGCGGTTTCAGATAAATAATTGAATTCCACTAGAAGCAAAACGGACGTGCGAATACCCATAATTAGCACCTTGGAGCTTCAAGCCATCTTCGTGACTATAAACCACATTCCACATGTCTGCACGCGAACCCAGAAAAAACAGCTTTGCAAGTACATTTTCCGGGTAATAAAAGATAGGGATAAACAAAAAATTAAAAGATAAGGATAAAGAAGCAACGTTTACTGCGGGGATACTAAATTGTTCAAAATCTCCACTTCAGTGATGGTTTACGCGCGAGTCGTTCAAATTGCTATTGTTGCAACTGGGTTTTACATGTAGTACTACCGCTGACAAGTTGCGATTTATGCTCTCAGACTCTCAGTGTTTACGAGCGTTCAATCGAAGTTTTCCTCTTCTTTTTTTTTTTTTTTTTGGTTGTTTTTACTTCAGAATGCGGAGAGATCTGCTGAAATATCGAAAAATGTCCATTTCTCGTCTTCTTTGGAGCAACCGATGGAAACTTCATGGGGAAATACAGCTTCACGCCATTGTGACAACGTACACGTTTATGACGAATTATCGGTTTAACATGTTTCAAATGACATACAAGTATAACAGTGTATCTTCAGAGGATTTCGGATTGCTCAAATTCCCGTGAAAGAAGATGCAGCACTCGGAATCTGGATGATATGCAGACGACTTGAGGTATATGTTTGTAGCTACGTAGAGTAACCTTTCACGAAGGCTGATCCATTCTTTCAAAAGATAAAAACCAGAGGCGAGATTTCTCTTCGGGATATTGCTCATAAGATAACATTCTTTCCAAGCCTTGCACGTCTCATTTGTCTGAGACGTTTGTTGCCGAGAACATTAGATGTAAACATCGCTAAATTATGCAGTATCTGATTTTTGAGCTTCGTTTGCGAATTGCCCCTATGAAACTGAAGTAGAGACTGGCCCGCAGAGACTTTACATATTTAAAAACAAGAATGTTATAACTAATTAGGTGGGTAGTTTCAGTTCCAGAATCGGTGTACTTTTGGAGAAATTCAGATAAACGTTTTTCCTGTCTTACCCTACATAAAAAATGACCGAAACTGTACCGAGATAAATAATGTATTGGTGTGTTCACATTCACTCCCAGGAAAAATTGAATGCATCAAAATGAAGAAAAATGATGTCGCTATATATGGTAGAAGTACCAATTGGTAATGTATTTAGCTTGAGATAGAGAAATGAACATTTTACTCTTTTTTTGAGATGTTTTTGTATGAAAATGAGGCCCCAGGCCTTGAACAAGCAGCCGTTGTTACCATGGCAACACGAGTGCTGCAACCTTTAAAAAGGGCATTTTTGTGCATCCCCCTGAGTGCCTAACTGCGTGCAGAATTTGAAGGGGGTTGAAAATTTTCATTTCCGAAGATATTTGATTGTTACAAAGACTTGTTCTTAATGTAGAGTTTAGTATACTCAGCCAAGTCGAGTAACCGAGTTACTGCTCATCATTTAATTTCCCCGAATCATGTTATGTTAGGCAGAAAACCAGGTACGGTTGTTATCAGTGAGCTAAGTATGTAGAAAATTGCTAAATCGAATGATTGTTGTGGAATAGTCAGCAAATGAATAGGAGAAGAAACAACGTGTGACAAATAGATACTTAACAGCAAGAAAAACCATAATGGAGGATGCGGCTGGAAACCTTTCCTGACGAAAAAATTGCCACCTGAATACTTTGGAATAATTTGGGTAGCTGAGTATATACAACTTAGGACTCATACATGGGAGCTTGAGAAAAATGTTTTGTCGAATATTAAAGTATTCCAATTACGCATGTGTATTTCAACAACAATTTCAAATCCTAAACACATGTTTCCCTTAGGACATAGACCAAGTACACTTACCAAGAATAAAAGCTCTTGAAGCCTCAACCTCATCCTGACGGCTGAGGTTGGTTCCGTTGAAGGGAGAGAAAACTTCACTCCTCGGATCGAACAACTGATATTAATAAGTCAGATCTACTATAGGAAAAAGCCACACGATACAGTTAAAAAGGGGTAAAATCACAATTTCAAGCTCATGAAAACCTTTTTTCGGTATAAAACAACACATTCCCTTACCGGGTTGCTAGTTTGCTCAAGTAACGAGTTCTATTGTACTGGTCAGGCTGAGCTTAAGAGTCTGTCTTGATCAGTTTGTTTGTTTATGGACCATTAAGTCACGGTTTCAACCCCGACCATTTTCCCCCACACTGATATGCGATTAACATGTCAGCGCTGAGACGGAAATTTGGCTTTTGTTCTCTCAAAACCGCTAACCGCAGTTTGAAGTTTGCGGTTAACACACCAGAGGTAGCTGGATGCGTACCAGCGCTGAGACGGAAGTTTTGTTCGTTGAACATCGGATCTAACCAATCAGGACGTTTTCTATAGCTAAAACTAGGTCAGCAGGTCGTCCTCAAGATAAAATGTTATTCTAGCGTTTCGCATTTGACAAGGAAAGAAAGTTTTGTCCACAAACAGGTCTTCTTAGAAGTGGTGGAGGCTTTCAGTTTGGTTTTTTTTTTTTCAATTCATGGGCTAAAAGATGTTCGGACCTTGGATGCTCTTTAATCAAGGGTAAAATGATTGCCCCTGTTCCATCACTCCACCGTTAATTAGACTTGCATAAGTCACGTTCTGCACTCTTAACTGAGGACCGTTTTGCTTTATCATTATTTTTAGACTCCCAGTGTCGAAAAGAGATGGCAGTATTAGGGAAATATCAAGTAATATTTCTACTAGCCATAGTAGGAAGCTCCTGTTCGGGTGAGTTTAATCAGTTTTTTAAACACATCAATAGATCTACGAGTAGCCTCAATTGAATTGATGCTTAGACAGCTATGCAATGTATTTCTTTGTTTTTGAGACCTACCGACACGCAAAATTTGTTTAAGCATTTCGGTTGTACATTAGAATATAGAAGCACCCGTGGCATTCGTAATTTCACCACAAGAGTTACAGGCTCGACGAAATAACAGATTGAGCTCTGAAATATCTATGTTTTACAATACGTTTCCACTTATATATCAATAAAAACCCAACAAACGAGTGAAGTTCTTAGGTTGGGACTCATCATTGGCATGTAGATGAAGGTAAAGTGGAACTCTTGGATTCTTAACGAAAACAGAACGCACTCGCGAGCTTTGTTAAATCTTGAAGCATTCTGCAAAATTTTGAAGATAACTGCGCAGTTTAGGTAAATAATTGAATTCCACTAAAGCGAAACGGAGTTATTATTATCCTAATTATCATCTAAGAACATTTCCTGCCGATTTCGTGACAATAAGCCACATTCCAGATGTCTGCTCGCGAGCCCGAAAAAAAAAACAGTCGAGGTTTGATGGTAAACTTTCCGAATAATAAAAGAAAAGGTTAAGCACAGGCGTACCTAGCTCACTTCTCGAGGAAAAGCGAAAGATTGTTTCATGAAGGCTTGCTTAACTATCACTGTTTTTCCTGTCATGAGCACAGGGTATCCGGTCAATTCGCCACTACAATAAACTCGCCACCACAAAACTCGCCACCACTCAAAGTGAAATCGTCACCGGTGGCGATTTGACTTATACGTTGTGTAGCCTCTCATGTGAAACTTACATCAAATGAAAGCTAAGATGTAGTATTATACTGCGAAAAGGGAGAGGGACACAGAAGTTGGGTGTAACGCCTCAATAATGGAACGTTAAACGAAATAAAACATGTGTATATCACGAAGATTATGATCAGTTTGAGAACAGCGAAACCAGAGTGATATTCGCCGAGTGATATCAGTGATTTATGCCAATATGAATGAAATCGTATGAAACTTACATGATCTAAGTTTCATACGGATTTCATTCATATCGGCGTAAATCTCTTGGCGAAAATGACTCGGTGAATATTACTCTGGTTTCGCTGTTCGCAGACTGATCATAATCTTCGTGATATCAACAATTGCAAGTTTTATTTCGTTTAACGTTCCATTATTAAGATGCTACACCTTTCCCTCCTCGCAATATACCACTACATCTTAGTTTTCATTTGATGTAAGTTTCACACATAACGTTTTAGACAAATCGCCACCGGTGGCGATTTCACTTAGAGTGCTGGCGAGTTTGTTTGGGTGGCAAATTGACCGTAAACCAAGTACAGGTATCCCAAGCTCGCGTCTCGGGGAAAAGCGAAATACTAGTTTAGGAAAGCGTCACGCGTTGTGTGACGCGGTGTTAAGTTACGCGAATAGTATGAGGAACGAAATATGGTCGATTTACGACTCTAAATATTCCGAATTATGAACATTTTACCCGTAAGATTGATAAAACGTACTCACTCTTTGTGTGTAAGTTGTGATTTTCGGCGATTTCTGCCATTTTAAGCTTGCTTTGCCATCACTGTTTTTCCTGTTCTAAGACGAATTCAAGGCTGCACACACACACGATTTCGACTGTCTCCACGTGGAGGCGGTTTGCACCCAGAATATCCATCTATTCGCCAATTTTTGTACCCACAGCCTACGGTCTAAGATTATTGCACCCTAGAAATTGTCTAAACTCCCAAAATCTCCGCGCAGTGCGCTGAAAACGAGCGTTTTCTACCATCACTTCAAAGTTCGTTTCTTTCTGCCTGTGCCTTTGATGTGCAGACTGGACACGGCCGCCAAAGCGGCTTGGGTCCGAGGTTAATTTTCTCTCTACCGAGAGTGGTACGGTACGTACACACAAGGAATGCAGAGTTTACTCACAGGCAGGCCAAACGTATACCTGCCAACTCTCCCGTTTTCGGTTAGAGCACCAAGTCTCCCGGGAAATACCTACCGTGGCATTTTTCAATTTTTTTTTCAATGATTTAGTTGTTTTCGAGATGTCAAGAAGGAATTAATGCTCTTATTTAAGCTGTTCTCCATCGGAAAAAGTAAAACAGAGCAATTAAAATGATATACATTTAACTAGTATCGTAATTGGTCAGAAAACAACCAATCAAATTGCACAATACATGATAGAAATTTGGCGCGGTTCAGGTTGTCGCGCGCGGCTTACATCGACCGAAATTGAGGATGGCCACCATAGATTTCGGTTCACTGCAAAAATCGCAAGAGGTCTCCAGATTTTTGTACTCTGAGGGTTGGCAGGTATGCAAACGATGTGTTCGTGGTTAATAATCGCTGACGTGAGTAGCCTGTGAACAGGCCTTTGCTCGAGCGGGGAACTGGGGAGAGGAAATAGCGAAAAGGCCTGTAGACTTACATTTGGGACCGCCATTCCGTGCATCAGATCCTGATGCAAGCTCCCATTGGCGAGGATTTGACTGTTGACAGTTCTGATTGACATCGGCTCTTCGGTCGGCGCGTGCCACGCGATTTGAGTAGGCATATGGTATTTTGTGGACTGGACAGGACTGGACTAGTAAAACGCGGACTAGTAAAGCGCGGACTAGTAAAACGAGGACTAGTCAAACGAGGACTAGTAAAACGAGGGCTAGTAAAACGCGGACTAGTAAACCGCGGACTAGTAAGACGCGGACTAGTAAAACGCGGACTAGTAAAACGCGGACTAGTAAAACGCGGACTAGTAAAACGCGGACTAGTAAAATGCGGACTAGTAAAACGCTGACTAGTAAAACGAGGACTAGTAAAACGCGGACTAGTAAAACGAGGACTAGTAAAACGCGGACTAGTAAAACGCGGACTAGTAAAACGCGGACTTGTAAAACGCGGACTAGTAAAACGACAACAACAAAAAAAACAATTTCATACGAAGGCGATCATAAGACTTAATGGCAAGCCAATTTAGTAAGTGACAATCCCTGTTTGACTTTTAAGCTGCAAATGGGTTTGACATGCGCCAGATACAAACGAATTTATAAGTTTAGGCTAAGAAAGAATTTTATTCAGCACCAGTTCAAAAT